ATGTGGCTTAACTTTCAAGGTAAGAGTACATAAGATAAGCCCTGAGATAATCATTTAAAAATGGGAGAAGGGGAGAACATGGCAGATAGATAGCAGCAGCTATGGAGGCTCTCTGAGATATCCCACTTAGAATCCAGGAATGGGGCAGTGTGAGGAGTCCTAAGCAAGCGGAGATATACCCTGCCAACCCAGGAACAAGCTAAGCTAAAAGAAACCAACTGGAAACGCAATCTCGGTGCTATAACAGGAACAGATAAAATCTCAGCGCAGAAGCTGGAAACTGCGCCATTGGAAGCCGCGATTTGAATTTCCTGCAGCAGCTGCTGTGTCCAAATCAGCACAGCAGGGAGAGAGAGAAATGTGAAAACTCTGAGAGTGGGAATCGGCGAAAGGAGTTGAGAACAGGGAGCCCTGCATCGACCTGTGGTGAGTGAGTGGATTGGGGACCCTTCCATAGAGTAGGAGGCTTCAGCAAAATACACACTGGGACCAGGCAGACTAGCCGGAACAGGATGCTGCAGTGACTTTAGTCACATATTCCCCTCTCAAGCGGGATTGGTGGGAAGTGCCTGGCCTGGGTGACACCGCTGACTGAGACACAATAGGCTAGCCCAATCCAGGACCCAGCGCCTGGCGGTGTACCCTAGCACTGAAGCCTTCAGTAGTTTGACCTACAGGGGTGGGCCCAGCAAAGGCTGCCCAGATCTGTGTCTCCTTAGTACACTGCAGTGGGCAGGAACACCTAGCCAGCGCAATTCAAACAAACTGTAACAGACAAAGAGAAAAAAAACTGGGCTTCCTATATTCGCTTGTATGGAAGGAACAAAAAGTATGGGAAGAGGAAGCAACAAGAAAGGGACCTCAGTCCCCAATCCTGAGAACACTGATCCAGGAAAGGTGAATGCAAAGGAGAATGACGAAAGAAAACATGCAGTATCAGACACAGCACCAATAGACATAAAGCAGTATCTCTGGAGCCTCATAGACGAGTTCAAAAGGAAAGTATTTAACAAAATAAAGCAAGATATGAGTAGAACAGTTAGAGAAATGCTAAGCACCGCCCAAGAAAAAACAGATGGTGGAATGGAAGAACAGAAAAAGAGGGGAGAATGGTTTGATGGAGAAAATAGAGAAAACATAGAATACGTGAAGCAGGTTCAAAGAGATTACCAGGAAACTAAAAACTCTATTGAAAGCTGGCATAACATCTTGAAAGAACCTAAGGATAGGTTATCTGAACTGGAGGGCAGATTTGTAATGTGGGAGCATGAAATGAAAGACTTCTTAAAAATAACAAGAAAACAAACAGCAATAATACAAAGGCTAGAAGATGATAAGAGGATCTATAACTTAAGAATTAAGAACATAAAAGAAGAAGTAGGGACACAAGCAAATGGCCTACAAAAGCTTTTCAAAGAAATAATCCAAGAGAATTTCCCTAATTTAGCAAAAGGTAAAGATACTCAGATGTATGAGGCATACAGGACCCCAGCCACCTACAACCCAAATAGAACTACAGCCAGGCATATAATAATCAAAATTCCAGAAATCCAATATAAGAACAGAATATTAAAAGCCATCAGAGATAAGAAACAGATCACTTACAAAGAAACACCCATCAGAATTACAGCAAATTTCTCAGCACAAACCATCAAATCACAAAGAGCATGGGGGGAAATAATCAAGCTTTGAAAGATAATAACCTCCAGCCAAGATTGATATATCCTGCAAAACTGTCCCTAGAAATTGATGGAAAAACAAGGGGCTTCCAGGATAAAGAGGAACTAAGGGGAATTTGCAACCACCAATTCAAATCTACAGAGAATTTTGCAGGATATTCTAAAAAAGGAAAATACCAAGATTCTAGAAACAGTGGCAGAGAGGCCACAATGAATGGAGCAGAAAGCGAAATGAAGAAGACAAACTGACAACAAACGACAGAAAAAGATCTCAATAGAAATGAGGCAGAGAAGATTGGATGATAGGAACAGCTATTTTGGAAAAAACAAGACATCATAATAGCTAGTGCTGATTTAGTATCATCTTGTTTTGAAGGCCCATCAAGCTTTTATTCTTCTGTCTCCATGGGTCTTAACAGGTTGTATCTTATTGGATTTCATTATATGTGATAATATAAGCAAAAACTTTTATAGACAAGGAGATTATACAGAAACCATTGTTCATTTTCTGCTAATTGGTTCTAAATACCCTGTAATAATGTCATTCTCTTGAATGGTTTTATAGTGTTTTGATATGTTTGGTGCTATAGTATACGAAGTTACACTCAAAGATTTCAAAGAAAGAGACACTATGGTAACTACTTTTATGTCAGGATATCTTTTGGTGAAACACTATTTTGCTTAAATAGTTATGCTTTGACCTGTGCTGTTTTTTTGTTATGCCCTCTTTTATCTCAATCTCCTTTTTTAAACTATTTACTTTTTTCTTTTTATCTTTTTAATTAAGGGAAAATAAATTTCAAAAAATAGCAGGATACATTATAGTAACCCACTGATTTCTTATTAACTTGATTGGAAACCCTGTATTGCCTTCACCATCTTGTTTTGACTGATTTTCCTCTATTCTGCTTTGCTTGATAGTACCAAGTTCGAAAGTATAGGCAACAACTGTGAAGACAGTAAGATTCATTATGATGCCCATTCTGGTTGACTATTATCTTCTTTTAAAGTCCTGTAATGTCTCCAATGTTTTGGTTTTATTCTTTACTGTTTTGCTCAATTTTATTATAACTGATGATATAGGCAATTCTTTTTAAGATAGCAAGAGGCAGTATGGTAACCATTGTTGATCCCCTTGTATTTTGTTTTTACATTATCTATTATGTCCATCCTTTTGATTTGACTGACTCTGTTCTGTTATGTCACATTTGGTTTTACTCTCTTCAAAAAAAAGTAATAAGAACTGTGAGAGTAATAAAACCCAAAATGTGTAATTGTCATTGTACAAAAGAGAGGAAAAAAAAGTGCTCTAAAGGATATAACTGCATATATATTTAAGTGTATAAGATAGATAACCATATTACTGAGTTTTGTTGGATCATTGAACAAAACTGTTTGCAGTTTCACTGTTTGAAAGTCCACTTTATATGCTTTAATTTTGTAACTTCAACAACTATTTCTAAGATAACAATATGTAATCTATTAACTAGTGATTTCCTATTGTTTATTCTTTCTGAAATTCTGTATAACTTGTACCCTTTTTCTGTTTTTTTTTCTCCTTAAATAAAATTTTAAAAAAATGGGAGAAAAGGAACACAATATTAATGATAAAGATGTCTGTAGAAGCAAACACACTGTCTTCATCAAACAGATTGAAATCTGTATGAAGACCAGATTATATCTGACTTCCACTCCCAAATCAGCTTGGCTCATAACTGAACCTCAAGATGAACACCGTACCAGTGACGAAAGGAAACACAACGATCTCCGAACAGTATTAATCATGGTAATGTTCATTCCTCCCACAATAATCTTTAGAAACAGTGTAGCTCTTTCAATGTTTGTAAATTGGAAATAGTTTTGACTCAGTATGTGAAGGAATCAAACAAGACACTGAGCCCTATGAGCTCCAGATGATGAACTAAACCAGTGAGAGCTTGGTGCCTACCCCATCTCCGTATAGATCCTCAAGCCATGCGCCAGTATGCTACCTACAATGGTCACCATGAAGTACACAGACAGTATTTTACACAGTGTAGATAAGGCAGGTTGACTGTGTTCATAAAACTGTAATGCTAAACAGACAAACACAAACCCACAGCTGCTCTGCTGTGCTTATCTTTGTGTTAGAAACTGTAAAACCTCTCCTTCAGCTTGCAGCTCTCTGAGGCATGAAGCTGGGACCCAGTCTTTGCTCCCCTGAATTCTAAAACGTTTTTCTCCCAGAATCTTTTGTTTTCACAAACTCTTAAGGACTCAAGTGTTTAAAGAGTCTATAGTTTTGTTTATCTGAAGTATGTTTTCCATGTTTGAAATTAAAGCGAAAAATATTTATTTACAATAACACAAATCATTTGTTATTTGATAACTTGAATAACATAGTCTCATGAAATATATTTTTCAAACAAAAAAATTTTGAGAACATTGTTTCAAGCTTTTGTAAATCCATTTGATGGCAGGCTTGATGAAAAACAGTTGGATTCTCATTAGCTTCTGCATTCAATTAGCTGAGACATGTTATTTTCACTGAACGACATTCAGAAAATGCAGCCTCACGCAGGTACAGGATTGAAGAAGGGAATTGCAAAGGATCTTGAGAACCCCGCGTGGTCCTCATCCCACACTCTGAAACCCCTGACTGTGATAACACCATCAGCTTTGTGATCAGTATTCAGTAACTACTTGCTACATTAATGAAAATTTCACTAATTTTGATACAAACACCCATTTTGGATTTAACTGACAATATTATTTGTAAGTGTTCATTGGTTTTACCATTATGAAATGTTAATTATTGTGATTGGCAACTCATTTCAACTAAATTAGAAAGTAGATTGATAGAAGGTAGTCTGAACCAGAGTAAAAAGCCGAAAAATAAAATAAATGCCAAAAGTTAATAGAAATAAATGGATGACTAGAAAGAGACTTTTTACTTAAAAATACATATAATCAAATCAAGGGGCTTATTTGAATGCTATATGGATCTCTTTTAAGCAGTAAATTAGATTAAAACACTTCACTGAACACAAGATGCATTGTAATATTTTCAGTACCACACATGCCATTTCAAATTAATTTGTAAAAACCATAAGAAAAAGTTCGCTTATGCTTTTGGCATTTCTGTATTAAATATTAATAGTAGTTTGCCAGATGCAAGAGAACATATATTGATTCAAACATCTTATAGTTTCCAAAATTACAATTTTTGGTTTCAAGAAAACCCTAAATTCAGAAATAATAATACAACTTTAAACATTCTATTGATTTTTAAAATGGCATCTCACACACTGTCTGGAAAAAAGAAAGAACAACGTGACTCACTTTTTCTTTTCCGGAAGCGGCGTCCCACGAGGAGCCACTTTGGCTTCTGATCCAACATCCTTCGGCATCCGCTGCCTCCTCTTTCTACTTGGCGCAACGTCTGTGACATCAGGGCTTGAGATAAGTGAGTCTTCTTTGTTTAAAGAGGCTAAAACAAGAGAAAGGAAGGCTGTAATCCCAGAAACGTTCGTGTCTGTCTTGCTGCCTTAGCACACACATCATCAGGACCTAGGAAACCATTCTCCCATCTCTGCGCAGCTTTGCACTAACCCAGGTGGGGTGTGCGACACTTTACCAGCAGCATAAACTACTGAGGGGCGATACCAGTCAGGCAGCCAGGGTGATGCTCATCGACATTATCAGTGGATATGGAAACTTCGATGAGAAACTCAGAGGTCATTTCGCAGTTTTAAACCCAGTGTGTGCTCAGGACAGAGCTCGGGATTTCTTCCCCTTGTACCCACTCACTAACACACATTTAGTTAGCGAGTCTAGCGTGGCACGACTTAGCCTGAGAATACAGCAGTACTTCGAAGGGGAACTGTGAAGTATGTCATCATCCGGCGCTTCAACCCTTAGGGTGACTGTCACAGATCCCCCTGAAGAGGCTACAGTGATGCCTAGGAAGTGACTGCCGGGCAGCCCCACAGACATGGGGACCAGTCTCCCCGACAGTAAACGTGGGCTCTGGCTCGAAGACGGACGAGAAGGCAAAGAGCGCAGTGTGAGCTCTGTGACTGCTCACACAGAGGACATACTGATAAAAATAAAAAGACTTTTTAACATTTTTCTATCTTTATAATATCTAGGTGTGGTGGCACACAGCTGGAATCCTGCCCTTAAGAAGCTGAGGCAGAAGGATTGCCATGAGTTCAAGACCAGCCTGGGCTAAATAGTGAATTCAAGGCCAGTCTGAAGTACATAATGAGACCCTGTTTCAAAAAATAAAACATTTTTTAAAAGGCAACTATTCCGTCTTATTCTTTTCTCTCTATCCTACAATGCTAAAAGCCAGGAAAAAGAGGCACTATTCAATGACCGGACCCTAATTCTTAAGTTTGAAATATTTCTCAAATTTCTACCCATCCCGACTCTGCCCTTCAGCTGTAATAATGTGTGTAATAATTCTCACGTTGCTTCTGCTCCTGAGTCTGGATACTGGACTTCTAGTGTGACAGTGGTTGCTTGAACAGTGACTGTGCAGTGGAACTGAACTTTGATCTCCAAACAAGTAAAGCTGTTCCACGTATAAGGAAAGATCACTGAATTGCATTGATAGGAAGTACAGGAACTTCCAAAGTGTCTCCACCGTCTGTGATTTTGCACATGGTCAGCATCCACATGGGTCAGCCTCTACATCCATGGATTCAATCAAACAGGGATATAAAATATGCAAAAAAAAAATTCGTCAGTACTGGATATACAATATTTTTCTTGTCATTCTTCCCAAAACAGTACCCAGCCACCGAAACAGCATTTACATTGTATTAGGTATTATAAATGTCTAGATGTTGGAGGATGTAGGCTCCATTTCATAGTGACCTCAGTATCTAAGAATCTGGGTATCCACGGGAGTCCTGGAAGCAGTCTGCTGTGGACATAGCAATGTCTATTTCTATGTGCGACAATTCAAAGTTTCACTTTCATGCCACACATCTCCTTTTTAAAGAAAAAGCATCCATTTGTATTAGGCTCAGCAGGCTACACTTAATTGGTTTAGAGATGAGGAAGAACTTGAAGAGCCCTGGGAAATGGTAATTAACATTCAGAGTGCTGAGGGTGTGCATGGCCTTGCCAGAGCGGGGTTTGGGAGAGGAGGATGCCAGATAGACAAGGACAGACAGCAGGAGTAAAAGGGAGACAGGAGAAAGGAGTAGGTTCAAGAAACTCAGAACACTCAAAGCCAGGGAAAAGGGTATGGATTTGGTATAGGCCACAGAAGATTTTTCCACTTTCACAACTTTTCAGCTTTTAATACTATCATTAGTTTCTTTGTTACAACAATGTGCCTTTCACAATTTCTGGGAAATTTTTTTTAAATGAAAACAAAAGAAAAGGATAAAAGTATTGCCAGTTAAGCCACCGCAGCTGAAATGCTGCTTGGCACAGCTGTGGGATGCATTTCAAGTTGTCATTAGGTTCACTGGATCCAGAAAATGGGAGTCTTTACACAAGCCCTGCTATTGTGAAGGGTGGCTCCAGGGAAAGCCACACTGTTTAACAGGAGAGCTGCAGGACATTGGCAGAGGAGCTCGGACAAGGGGAGAGAGCTGCTCTCCTGGGTGTGTGCGGTGTCAAAATGAAATGACACCGGTGTCTAAGCTGCCAAGAATGGGAGGGTTAGCAGTTAACTACCTGGTAAACTTCCGTCCTTGGCCAACAGCCTCTTAAATCCAGTATTTTTAAAAATCCTCTTTGCAAGTTTGTAATTTGTTTTGTCAGGCTCTCATTACATCACATTTGTGGGGTTTTTTCTTCTTTGATGCACATCTGTGCACAGTCTTTAATCTTCTAATAAAGACCGGAATCACTCCTACCTACTCAGCCCACACACACACGCACACGTACACACACGGTGCTAAAGCACATTGTGTATGACAGCGGCAAAGCAGCTCTCAGGTTATATTACAGAATGCAGGCTCTGAGATTCCCTTCCCCATGAGAAATGAACATGTGCTGTTGCAAATGGGGGCACCAAAACAAAAGTGAAAACAAAACCATGAGTGATTCCTCAAACCCTCCTGCGATGTGACCTTCACTGCTTTTGTAAATGCACTGGCCACAGGTCTTCGGAAGCAGCCTCCCAGGAGCCCCTCGGCCCCCCATTTGCATGTCCTCTGCTTCTCTCATGGTCCATCTGTGTGTTCTCCTCAGGCAGAGTTCAGTCACCCTGAGGATGCAGCCCCAACCCATAACAATCTTCCTCTTTCCTGAAGAATTTAAGCATTTAATCACTAACTTTTTAGGTTGTATCACATATTTTATTCTCTTTTACCTTGCTTTTTCAGTCACAGTACGAACAACCTACTGTAAGAATCTCTGCTATACTGCTGATATGTCACTCAATTGTTTCTTTTTGTTTGCAATATATAATGGTTGCGCCTGTTTGGGGACATGGTATACATCTCATCTATGTATCCATCCATATGTACATACATGTACATAGGTACACAGATCATCTCATAGTTTGATCATTGTCAATCCCTTCCCTTACCTCTATATCCCTTCACCTCTTTCCCCGATTCCTTTTCCTGTATCGATAAACCCTGCCTCCCCATTTCCTGTCATCACTCCTTTATTTTATTCTTTACTTATACATTATGTGTTTCTCAGATAAGAGAAACCAAATGATATTTAGATTCCTATGTCTGATTTCATTTAACATTATGGCCTCAAAGTTCACCAGTTTTCCTGCAAATAACATGAATTCATTCTTTATGGCTGAATACAACAACATATATATTCTTTACCCACTCATCTTTTGAGGGACATCTAGGGTGTTTCCAGAGCTTAGCTACGGCATTATTATTATAGCGTGATGATTTTAACTCTTCTGAGAATATACTTAGAAGAGGCATAGTCGGATCAACACTAGTCTCCATGCTTAGGCTGCCAAGGCATCTACATGTGGAATTCCATAGAGGTTATACAAGTAGAGCTCTCCTCCCTCACTGCCTCACTGGCATGGGCTGCTTTTAGTGTTCTCCATAATGGACATTCTGATTGCAGTAAGATGGAATCTCACAGTTGTTTTGCCTTGAAGTTCCCTAATGACTAAGCATGTGGAACATTTTTTTCATATCCTTACTGTTCATTGTCCTTTTTTGTTGTTGTTCGGGGGATCGAACTCATGACGTGATGCTTGCCAGGCAGGCACTTGTGCTGCTGAGCTAAACACCTGGCCCTGTCCATTGTACTTCTCTAGGGAAATGTCCACTCAGTTCATTGGCTCCTTTTCTTTTCTTTTTTAAAATTTTCTTCCCATTGGCCCATTTTCTGATTGGACTATTTGTTTGGAAGGATTCACATTTTGAATTTTTATATTTTCTGGAAGTTAGTTCTCCATCAGAAGCAATTGGTAGTTATCTCTTCATTCTGTTGTTTCCTTTGCTGTGCAGAAGCTTTTTAATTTGATATGATCCCAAGTTTATTCATTCTTGGTGTTATTTCTTATACTACCAGAGTTCTGCTCAGGAAACCCTTTCCCGTGCCCATAGATTTAAGCGTTTGCCCTGTTATCTTCCAGCACCTTCAGGGTCTGTGTTTTTATATCTGGGTCTTTCATCTGTTTTGCTGTGCTCTTAGTACAGACAGCCAGGGAGACACTTGCATTCTTTGGCACAAGGAAAACACACTTTCCTACCACCACTGGTGAAGCAGACAATTTCCCCTCGTGTATGATTTTTCTCTTTGTCAAGGATCAGATGACTAAAGGTATGTGAGGTTGTTTCTGTATTATGAAAACAGAAATCTTATTTTAAAAAATTAGTCTTGAATTTTATTTTTTATTTAAAATTAAAACTCACTATGACCCTCCAGAAAAGATGCAGGGGAAAGCAGAGAGGGAGTACTCGAGCCAGGCCTTCATTCTGCCATTTTCCTGTGTGCACTACAGCAGCTCTGAACTCCTCAGTCAAGAGAGGGCTACTGACCACAACTGCTGAGACAATGAGACAAAGTTAATCTGATGTAATCAATTATAAATCGGTTTACACACTTATAAACTATTTTGGAAATCAATAAGTTGCAGGTATATTTTGTATCATTACAGTATAATTAACAAAATATGTGTGGTCTTATAAATGGCCAAATTGAGATCATTTTGATGAATTTGAAGAACATGTAGAGTATCTATTCTAGATGGTTTCACAAATATAAAAATAATAGAAGCAAAAATATATAAATTAGTGACTTTCCAAATTTAAAATAACTTAATAGTAACAAAACCATGCTGTCTGCTATGAATATAAAGTACACAGACTTCTAAGACAGTTTTGGGCTGTTTTACTCATTTATTCATTTTGAAAGTGTTCATTAAGTTTTTTTTAATCAATAAGACATTATGTTTTATTTTTGAAATAGTAATATAAAATAGTAAGGGGAAGAAACCAAAATTTAACCTTAAAAATAATCCTAATTAAACCTGAA